GAGGACTGGCTGAACAAAAGAGGTGTCTGCAGGGGTGGAAGTGGGCTTCAGTCTTTTGGAGCTGCTTTGGGAGCAGGAATAACACGGTTTTGGAGCAGCTTTGGAGCCTTAAAAAGAGCATTTTGGAGCAGCTCTTTAGCACCAAAAGGTGTGTTTTGGAGCATCGAAATTTGCAGATTTCTTGGGTCACGCATCACTGCTAATTATGTTTTGTTTTATTTATGCTTTTTCATCAATACAAAAAATTGCAGTCGTTTTTACTAAGCGTTCGAAGCTAATGCTGCAATGTTCAAAATGTGGTTAAAACATCGCATCTAACATGAACAGCAACTCAAGACTAGAAATGAACTAATATAATAAAAGTTATCTTTATACTAAACCAATCAGGCTGTATAAAAATAGATGTAAAAAAAACTGATGTTCCGATCATTGAAGTGCCACAGCCGTAATGAGAATCGTGAAGAAATTTAGATGGGCTCACCGGGCTACTGCTGAATAATTAGATTTTTTTATTAGGATAGGAACTACACAGGCACTCGACGGGTTTTTGCAGTCAACGCCATGTTGATTGATATGTAGGGTTTAACGTCCCAAAACCACCATATGATTATGAGAGACGCCGTAGTGGAGGGCTCCGGAAATTTCGACCACCTGGGGTTCTTTAACGTGCACCCAAATCTGAGTACACGGGCCTACAACATTTCCGCCTCCATTGGAAATGCAGCCGCCGCAGCCGGGATTTGAACCCGCGACCTGCGGGTCAGCAGCCACTAGACCACTGCGGCAGGGCAGTCAACGCCATGTTCTGCCTAAACTAAAAGTTGGTAACATTCCCGGCGCATCATACGTCCTACTCGCGCATAAAACTGCGCAGGCTGGGGTGGTGAGCGCTGCGGCCGACCTTCGTCACTCGGAAGGCGAACGCGATAGCATCCCCCGCCGCTTGTTAGACCTGTCGTACAATGCTCAAGCAGAGATGAAACACGCCGCCCGTCTTGAACGAGCATGAAAAAATATGCGGGAGAAAGGGGGAAAAGAAATGGGCCGCTGGAGCATCAGCGCACGGCTCGTAAACAGTTCAATTTGGTCTGCTCTCAACCGAATGAGATTGTGCCATAAGAGCAGTTCTTCCTGGAGCGGCCGTACGTTTTTTCTTACACCAACTGCGAGAACCTTCATTGGGCGAACTTTTGCCTGAAAAACAAAACGTAACTCTACAAGCAATACAAGCTGTAGACTGATAGCAGCAAACCAGAGCGTCAACCATCGAGAATCTGCCAAGCAGAAAAGTGTGTTGGCATTTACACATGTGCCATCTAAGAATATTTTTGCGTTATCGCTAGCGGCTGCTTAAGTTACAGAACCAACTCTGATGTAGGCATTGTGCGCGTAATATCATCGGAAGGTTCCAAGATTATCTAGATTGTTCACAGCCATTCGAGCGCAGTTTGCGCAAGACATCTGTAATGGTGTGGTAGAAAAAATAGAAAGAAAGGAGCGCGTGCGGCATTACGATTACAACATTAAAGGGGTACTGACATAAAAAACTTTGGCTCTCGTTTTTCTCCTGCAATGAGTGGCTGGGAGCCTGTTATGACACGACAAATCGTTTGCTGCAGCACGCGACAAACAATTACTTACAGGCCCCTTATTATGGATCAGTTTCAGTTTGAGAGAGTTTGAAAAACAGGGTGCAACTGTCGCCACCTAGCGTGTGCAACTTTTGACCACGTCAGCACACAGAACTGCGACACTTCCACACGGTCCGCATCAAGAATTACATTCGAATAGAAAACGGGACTGCAATATTCCCAAACACAGAAATTTCAAAGCCTGCGCCACGGCTACGCACTCGCAACCAGCCGAGAAATATAGACTGCGGTAACAAATGCAGCAAAAGAAAAATGGTGGCTATGACGTCGTCATAACTTGTTTTGTTGATTGCAGGGTAGTAACGTATGGGAAGTACCTTCAATGGTGTCAATGGCTGTTGCTGTTGATATTTTGCGGATGATATACGAATGTTCCTGGGAATCAACCCTACAGGCTATCTCGGCCACGAAATTTTGTCTCAGTGCCCTTTTAAAAATTCTTGCTATTACAATCATCGCTTCGCTGGGGACACTGATTTTAATTTTTTCATTTTATATGATTTGGCTAACAGCTTCGCTGTTAAAACACGTATAAGTCGCATAATGAGGTATGCACACAAACGCCACCTTAACAATTAAGATTCACGCATGAACCGAATATGACGCGACGACCGTACTAATTTGGCATCCTTTGTGTAGCCCACACGTGTACTCTGTCGATGATAAAACTACTAAATTTGGCGTTTCTCACGCAAATTGCCATTTAGGCGCAGCAGGTCAGATTGGAGCAGAAAGGCCTAAATGGCGCAGCCCTTGCACCCCCTAGTCAGTCACAACATGAAAAAATCAAGAAAAGAAACGGGCAGTGTTTCGGTTCATTCATTATCAACTTGATGTATGCACTTTTACACATATTAAAGACCTCCCGACAGCAAAATTTATGGTTGTGACCTTTTTACTTCAACTTCTAGCCTTGAGTTGTAATCCCAGAATTGAAACAAGTGCTGTAATGTATTTTATAATTAACACCAGCATCATTAATTGCAACTGATTTCACGTCTCTTCAACATGACTAGCCTAAAACCACAGGAAACTGGCGTCCAGAATAGGGGAGCGAAGCGCCTAGGATCATGCGTATGCAAACTTTGGTGTCGCAAACTGAATTTTTTTAAGTGGGCCCCATGCACAACAAATATTAAAATAATGTGGGTGATTTGTTATGTTAAGCCTGAGAGTTTCCTATCAGCAAAAACAAAATTCTTGGTCTAAGCAGTCAGAACTACTTTGTGAGCAGCCCGACAACAATGTGGGAGGTACGAGGAACAATAGCCAGTTCTATCATGCCTGTGCTACTGGGCTTCTGTGAAGTGGACAATACTATCTTCACCCACGGAATGTCACATGGGGCCTAATGTACGTCACACCAGTGGCGATGTCACAAGGTGCTACCAGCTCATATGAGCCCTCACGCTTGCCGTAAAACCAAAGATTTTAAAGCTAATGCTAACCAAAAATAATTGATCAGAAGTGCCCATACAGTAGAATCTTGATAATACGATTACGGTTGATGCGAATTTCGCAATGATACAATTTTAAGGTTGTTTTGAATGGACTACATTATATGAAATACACCGTGATTTGGTGTTATACGAATAGTTCCCCCAGCCACCGCGGATGATACGAATGTGCAATAGACCACTCCATGCCAGCGGCACAACGCTGCAAAAACACGCCGCGAGGCCGACGCGAAAAAAAAAAAAAAAAAAAAGCCAATTTTCTTGCCACACGATACCATAGTATCTGCTTTTTGCTTCCGGCTTTGGTTTTACGGGCTGCTCTATCTCAAATCACGTGATGTCAACAACCAGCCGCGAAGGTAGAATAAGTCGCGTGGGCGCTATCGCAAACTACCCATGCAGCAACAGAGTTAAGCGGCCCGTCAAAGCTCACGACCTTGACAAGGACGCTGTCGTGGAGAGCCTAGTTTGGATTACGATCGCTGATAACACCGATAGTAGAAGAAGGTGCAGCAGCAGCGAGTCTGCTTGCCCGAACGTGCCTTGCTTTTGCACTGCCGGCTGAATCTGTTCTCACCGCTCTGTCCGCTCGTGTTATTTCGGCTGGCGTGTCTTCCAAAATAACATTAGTAAAGGTGTAAACTTTCTTTTCGGTGCCTTGTGGGCATAATTAGAACTCTGTACAAGCTTCAGTGCTCAGGAAACAGGCGAAACGGAATGAATTCTCGCAACTATGGAGGCGGCGGGGGTGGCATATATACGAGGGGCAGAACGAATAAACGTTTTCGGCGGGCGCGGACGTCGTTTTCCGGTTGTGCTGGCATTTTCGCTTGGATTCTCCAATGCGAATTCTCCAGGACTCGTTATTTTTCGCGTCGACTTCGCGGCGCGGTTTTCCGGCTGCTTAAGCGAAGAAGCGAGTGAATTTCTAACGAGTTTGGCCGCTTTCACTCAATCTGATGTCAACTGTGAACGCGCTGCACCATGCATGAGCAGCATGAGCGAGGAAACCGCAGCACTTAAGAGACCATGAAGGCAGGAAAGTTGCATTACATTTTTTTCAGCAAGGTGTAGTTGACAATGAGGTTCTTGTTCCTTTTTATCAGCTTTAGGTTGATTTTGGTTCATACGAATTTGGGCTGATACAAATATTTTACGCGCTCTCTTCGAATTCGTATCAGATTCTACTGTATATACTGGACGATTGATCAAACAATACAAACACCTTGAGGTTTAAAATTTTGAAGTCAAGAGGTCCTTTATTAAGGCGTGCCTTAATAACTGTATTTTTCGTTATGCTTACAACAGTCCATGCCATAATCTTGACCCACAACATGTTTACATCACTACTGCTTATTTTTATTCTTTTTATGCGATAATCTACCCCATGCAATGACTGCACTCCTAAATTTGTGTCAATGTTTTGAAATAAAAAGAATGTGATTATTATGCGAGCAAATAAACACAAGTAACAAAGCTTTTGCAAAAAACGCCTAAAAGAGTGAAGAAATTGTGCTACGCACATGGTGCCCAAAGCAATAGCCTGTGCATTATGCCCGCATTTAGCACTGCAGAGTATTGTGGGAAAATGAAGTTTACCTCACGTGCTAATACAACTTCCTCGCGAGCTGTGACCTTCCAGATTGACGCGTTGATGAAGCCCACATCTTACAAAATTAGGTCAACTCAAAAGTACTAGTGCAACTACCACAGAGCGTTCCACTCGGCAACTTGTTACTGAAATGCTAGAGTGAATGAGGAAGCCTTTGTACTGGGTTGGAACTTGAACTAGCAACTGAAACCAAGCTGGGAACACCTGTTGTTTCTATGGGTCAAAACAGGGCGCTTCGTGTGCCTGCGTGAAATGGTTGTTATCGTTGTCGAAACTCACCGTCGGCGTCGACTTCGTTGATCATGTCCTGAAGCTCCGCTTCCGTTGGGTTCTGTCCCAGCGACCTCATCACCGTCCCAAGCTCCTTGGTCGTGATTGTGCCGTCACCATCCTTGTCGAACAGCGAGAACGCCTCTTTGAATTCTGCAAAGACAGATTGGTGGGAGAGAAGACTTTAATCCTTTTGGCACTAGAGGAACACCATAAGTCAACACTAAAGTAATGACCCAGTTCGCACAGAATGTGTGCTAATCACAAGACACGTTTTTCATAACACAGCAATCGATCGATCGATATGTGGGGTTTAACGTCCCAAAACCACTATATGATTATGAGAGACGCCGTAGTGGAGGGCTCCGGAAATTTAGACCACCTGGGGTTCTTTAACGTGCACCCAAATCTGAGCACACGGGCCTACAACATTTCCGCCTCCATCGGAAATGCAGCCGCCGCAGCCGGGATTCGAACCCGCGCCCTGCGGGTCAGCAGCGGAGTACCTTAGCCACTAGACCACCGCGGCGGGGCGTTCATAACACAGCAGAGCGGTGGTTTGGGCTAGATGCGCGTGGGTAAAAACGCGACGACATTGACAACCTGGATGAGAGAAGCGCTTTGTCTAGTCTCAGTGATGTTCATTTCTCGGCTCAACACACTGGCATCATTGAGTTATTCAGGCAAAGGAGTGGCCAAACCCTCCTATTGCGAGGTGCCGCGTCGGAAGGCATTCTCACGGCAAAGGTGGAAGCACACAAGCATGTTACTACTGGGAATACACTACCGACAATTGTCGAAACCTGAAAAGTTGAGGGGAACTGTGTTGTAGTGCAGGTCAGCATAGCACAGATAAACGAAACGAATACACACATAGTTATGGCACATGGAAACCCTATTTCTTCCTCAAGTTGAAATTGCATGGAACGTTTTTTGCAAGTCAAAAATGGGACGCGCAGTGAATGTTCGTGTTGCCGCAAACGCCAAAGCACCCGCTCGAAAGTAATTTGGCGGCGCTTACACACCACATTTGCCGAATCGCTAGGACATCCAGCTCTTAGACATGCACTGCCCTTGCCACGCAAATTGTATGCTCTTAAAGGGCCCCTAGACCACCTCAGATACTCTGTTCCGACATTTCAAGTGAACATGCCCATGATGTGCAGAATGCAGTCAAACTACCAGAAACGATCCCTTCTTTATTCCGGGCCCTTCTAGCCCCCATAGTGACTTGTGCGACATCACAAAGTTGAATCTGCGGTGCGGAGTCGAGCTGAGATTGGTCGAACAAGAACCTACGACTTCTGGTTAGTCTGCAAGCTGCTGCCTGCACTCTTTATTGTGTTGCGGTTGTAGGCGGCAGCTCCCCCTATGGCACGGCATGTTACCTGTACAGATCTACATGATGGCGATCCTTTGAAGGCACCACACAGGGCCCATACCAGCACGATTAGTAGGAGCACTAGCCAACACGGCAAGAGCCAGCAAGCACGGAGTTGACAATCATGGCAACAGGAAGTTGATGGTATTTCAACCAGCAAGTCAGGATTGACGTAAGCCACGCAAGATCGGGAGGGGGCACGTGAGGAGGAAAAGTGGCTTTGGGAGAGGAGACCAGCAGAGGGTCTCGAAGGAAAGAGCGAAAAGAGTGATCATCCTGTTTCCATCATCAAACACATCCAACTCCACTATTGCAGCATGTTTCGAAAAATCCTCTGCGAAGATGTGTTCATTGTAGACTAGTGCACAACTTCCCCTCCACAACTACATTTTGACCTCTAGGAGGTATAAGGGCCTTTCCAAATTCCAGACCACCCACAATGAACATTTTTGTGAACATAGATTGCCACCGTGTTTCCTGAAGTGTACTTATGAAGATTCATTTTAAGCAGCAACATTCTGTGTGAAACAGCAACCACAGGCCTCTCGTATGTTGAGCAGCTGTTGCTTGTTTACAAATACACTTTTCCATGCATTTATGACAAATGCGTGCAGAGGATCCACTGTGCAGGACAGGGTCATCTAAAGGCATTGGAATAAACTAAATGCACGTCACCTGCACACCGAGCTTCCAGATTGACATGCACGCGATCAGTTTTTTTTTTTTGTGCAACTGTACAAGCTCGCAATGAAGCTGGTCTTTAACGGAAAGAGTGATGGTGTTTGTATAGGTGAGGCTCCGGTCACCTTTCCCGTTTCTGGAGTGCTCTCTTCGACATGCACAGCTGCTTGCAGAATTAGATGTACCGTGTGCACTATGACAATGCAACGTTGCACATGTGCACCACTGTGAAGATACGCACATCAACTATGAGAGACGATAACAGTAGTAGCACCAGTCCATCGCCCACCCCCTCATCTGCGTGTACCATTTTAGCACAATGCTCTCCGTGATTGATTGATTGATTGATATGTGGGGTTTAACATCCCAAAACCACCATACTGATTATGAGAGACGCCAGTAGTGGAGGGCTCGGGAAAATTCGACCACCTGGGGTTCTTTAACGTGCACCTAAATCTGAGCACACGGGCCTACAACATTTCCGCCTCCATCGGAAATGCAGCCGTCGCAGCAGAGATTCGATCCCGCGACCTTGCGGGTCAGCACCAGAGAAATGCTCTCTGTGTTAATAGAAAGAATAATAGGGGCTAAACTAAGAATCTAGACTCGTTAACGAGGAGGCACCACTGCAAACGTTTTTGCGTGTTTTTTTTTTTTAACACCGGCTGCTACTCGAGCAATGTTATAGCGCACATTTCATTTGAGTACAGCACATGGCCGGCATTTTGTAGTGACAGCACAAGCCAGAAACGCCAATGTTGTAATCCTCGCACATTCTCGGAAGTTCTCACGGCACACGAAAAGCATTAGCGCTGGAAAAGGCGACGCTACAAAATACCGTGCCCATTAATATTGCAAGTATTCTAGCGCAACATCTTACAAAGTATCCGGTGTGGTCGTATCACAACTTATGCAATGCGAAGGTTAGCTGCGATGCCACCCGAAATGCTGTGCAAAATATGCATCACTTGATCCACATCGTGGTATATGTATGTGTATCCAATAAGTGAACAACTCTCACTCACCTGCAATCTGTTCCTCTGTGAGTTGGTCAGCCTGGACAAGGAAAAGGAGCAGACAAAGTAAGCTTAACATCACCTTTCACAGGGCACAAACCTTCCCATATTCTTTAAAGTTCATGTCACACAAGTAACTACCAAAAAAGCAAATAGTTGGTGTACTACAAATCGTGTTTGATTGATTGATATATGGGGTTTAACGTCCCAAAACCACTATATGATTATGAGAGACGCCGTAGTGGAGGGCTCCAGAAATTTAGACCACCTGGGGTTCTTTAACGTGCACCCAAATCTGAGCACACGGGCCTACAACATTTCCGCCTCCATCGGAAATGCAGCAACCGCAGCCGGGATTCGAACCCGCGCTCTGCGGGTCAGCAGCCAAGTACCTTAGCCACTAGACCACCGCGGCGGGGCTACAAATCGTGTTTCTCTGCTGCACCTATAACAGAGGCACAAGCTTGCAAATGGTCATGAAAGAATACGAATGCCCTCCCATTGGCACGTCTGGTGTTTGTATTTCTTATACAACAGTTACAAGAAAAATGTGATGATGCGTCTAGCAATAAAGAGCTAACACAATTGCACCTGACAAAAAAATATAAAAATGCCACAGCACATTCCTATGATTCATTCAGCACAATATATGCTCTGTAGGCCAGGAGTTTTACCAAACGATTCTTCTCATGTTCCATTTTTTGTAGCTTTTTATCCCTAGATGGCAAAATGCCAACCTTTTGTTATTGCGGACGCTGGCCCACTGATGACTAATGATAAATGAATAGCATCAGGAAAAACAACGCTTAGATAACAAAGCCTGACGTGTATAGATGGCAACACCTGCTCAGTCGAGCAACTAGTGAATAGTTCCAACAAAGAAAAATATTTAGAGTTTATTAATGTTAGAGATCATGCTCACCTTTAATTGGATAAGGGTAAATGCAAACTTCAAAGCGTAGTTACTTTTTAAAAACAAATTTCAATATAAGTCTATAATGAGCAGTCTTGCAAACACTATGCTGTGTCTACCACAACTAATTTTGCAGTCTATACTGTGCAAAATGCAGGGCATTTCTTTTCACAAGGTACGACTGTGTCATCTTACACAACTTCGATCGATCCCCATAGATAGGCATTTGTTTTATATCGCTGCCACACAAAGCACTTCCAATCACGATCGATCCCAATCAGCAATCCATTTCTTCACACAAGCAGCGAAAGAACGCACATGACAACTGAGAAATCGTACACAGATTGGGCTTTACTGCAATGGTGAGCACGGTGAACTGCTGCCATTGTTATCTGCTATATTTTATCCACTCCTTGAAAAAAGTAAAATAAAGGTTAATTTTAGCCTTTCATACCGTTCTCACAAGATTAGAGAACCGAGTTCCATGTTAGTAGTTCGACATATTGCCTGAACCTTCCTCACGCAAATACGCATACAGCACATTTCGCATGATGCTATGCAAGTACACCGCAGCGAACCTCGGCATGCGAGGCTCGTACTTTCAAAAGGAATATATCTGCACACCAAATCGGGTGGGAAAACGATAAAGCAAAAGATGAATATGAAGGAACACTCCGAAGCACGACAAGCTCTGCAAAAACAATAAATCTCCAAATCCCTCGCACAGCTGCACGTAGGGCTTGCTCGAAACAAAAGACAGCTGTCGCCCCCAAGGACAGCCGCACTAAGGCCAGCCGCACAGGTGGTCAGCCTCGGCTACGCACGTGACGGTCAAGGGACAGCTACATAGCGCAACGCGCAAGAGAATGCTTGCTCTCGACGGGCATCGAAATCCCCTCCGTATTAGGCTGTGCAGTTGGCAACCTTTTCCTAATGAGCCAAATTTCGTAAAGAATACGAAGTTGCTTGGTCATTGCTGCCGTAGGTATTGGAGAAATGTCCGTCAATTCAGCCTAGACCATTCTGTTATCGCGTCTGCTGAAAAGAGCCACGTACTGTTGCTCCTAGTGCCGAATGGCTTCCTTCAACTTCGCACGCAAGATGCTATCAGCACTCCCACTACTTTGCAAACGTAAATGCTTAACAGGACAAGCTAGAAGCTTGGAGCACTGAACACAGAGCAGAGTGGAACTGGCAAGCTACTATTCACGCGTTTCTCACAGACTGAGGGGCAGGCAACTCAGCGAAGGCATGAGATTAAATTCTAGTTTTGGTACTCAGGTTCGTTCCGACACTCCAGGCCTAGAGAGATAATCCTATGCCTGACAAGTTGACAAATTAATAATGGGGAGAATCTCATCGGGACACAGCTAAATGCTAACACCTGTGTTGCAGCAGTTGCCGTGCAGTACAACAGGCCTCCGATGACAGGTCTTTAGGGCTGACACACCATCTGGGGTTTAACATCCCAAAACCATGACAGGCTCACGAGGTACGTCATGGCGGAGAGCTATGGAAATTTTAAGCATTTCGTGTTCTTAAAGGGGCCCTGCGATGCTTTCTCGTATGCATTTTACGCCAATGGAGTTTGTGCAGTGCTGAATACCGAGATGAACGCAAAAAGAATCATCGAAATTGGCACACTGTAACAGGAGTTACAATACCGAGATGAACGCAAAAAGAATCATCGAAATTGGCACACTGTAACAGGAGTTACTGGCCTTCAAACTTCAAAACCTCAGCTGACGAGAAAGAACTTTCCCATCCCCGTTTTACTCTCCCACCGACACCAAAGGTCCGTTTCCAATCGCTGCACGCTTCTCAGAGACGTACCAGACCACTCTCCTTGCGGTGACTGTAGTGGAGCGCTCCTAGCGTCATTTTGCAATTGTATTCACAATTTTAAATTTAAGAACAAAGTCTGTGTCTGAGAAAGTATATAGTGCTTTTATAATTTTTAGTGCACAATAGTATGGCCTATCTGGGACCGTATGAATATTACGGGAGTTTCATCCCATAAAAAAAAAAAAAGGCCTCCGACATCACTCTCGCGTGGTGAAGCGTCGCTTTTGACCACAAAAACAGCCACCGTGTGTCCCTCTAGTCTGAATACTGCGGTTTCTCTGGAGAAATAACGGCTGGGTTCAACTCTTCTAAAGCTATACAAATCCCCCTTGTCTTTGCACGGCAGACTAATGAAAACTATAGCTGTGTACGAAATGGTCGTGCAAATGCTTTTAATGCAAGCTCGGTATGAAGATGCACCCATCTGTGGTAGCATGCTAAAAGTGTCACCTCATTGTCAGAGCTTCTCTTGGCCATGCATTACAGAATACCACCCTGTGATGTTCTATTGAAAACTAAACCAATATCCAATGCATATGCAACATACTTCGTAGAAAATAATGTCTGCAAAACGGCATCTTGCCATAAACGAACGAATGGAGTGATGCCCTTTAGATAGAGCAATGGCACATGCCACCTAGCCGCGATACATAAGTACCTTGATTGATTGATAGATATATGGGGTTTAACGTCCCAAAACCACTATATGATTATGAGAGACGCCGTAGTGGAGGGCTCCGGAAATTTCGACCACCTGGGGTTCTTTAACGTGCACCCAAATCTGAGCACACGGGCCTACAACATTTCCGCCTCCATCGGAAATGCAGCCGCCGCAGCCAGGATTTGAACCCGCGCCCTGCGGGTCAGCAGCCGAGTACCATAGCCACTAGACCACCGCGGCGGGGCTACATAAGTACCTTGTAAGAGACGGAATTTCTTCTCGCGTTGATTTTAGCAACCCTTGGGTCGCCTCTAGATTTTCCTTGCCCACAGTATGCTTCAATGGAAACACTTCATGTCTGCAAGGCAGTATGCTGTGATGGACGGACAGGAACTGTACCATTTAGATGGGGTGGTGGCCAATGCCATTTGGCCCTAATGGATAGTGAAGCGATATGTGAGGAAGGTCTTAATTTCACTCTTTCCTCGAATTTACCTACCAATATGATAACCGCCTCTTGGTTACTTGTATCCCCTTAAAGTATACAGCAAGGCTTCCTAAAATTTGGCTACATTGCATAGCACGGGGAGTGCCTTTCAAAAAAGGCACGTGGATGGATGGATGGATGGATATGGCTGTACCCTTTAGATCGGGCGGTGGCTAGCGCCACCAAGCCGTAATACCTAATGAACCAAAAACTATATTTATTTATTTTTTTTTCTTAAAAAGTGAGTTTGAGGATTCGTACTTTGCAGTGAAGAGTTTAATTTTCACTCGTGCCTCGACTTTAGCCACCAATCAGATAACCTCCTTCTAGTTAAGTCTACCCGCTTAAAGTCTATTTTGCCCTCCCGGTCCCTAAACCCCAGCGCTTTGAAAAACGCAGCGCCATCATCCTGAACTATAGGGTGAAGCCCTTTACAGAACATTATCAAGTGTTCGGCAGTTTCTTCTTCCTCTCCACACGCACTGCATACTGTGTCTACTCCTTCGTATTTGGCCCGATATGTCTTGGTTCGCAGTACTCCCGTCCGGGCCTCAAACAGTAGAGAACTACCCCGAGTATTATCATAGATCCTTTCCCTGGCAATTTCCTGCTTAAAGGTTCGATAGGTCTCTAGTGCGGACTTCTTAATCATGCCCATTCTCCACATGTCAGTCTCAGTTTCCTTCACTTTCTTCTTAACCGATAGTTCTTTTTGGTCTGGCCACCTGCTGTTTTCTAAGTATTTACCAGTCAACTTCCTGGTTCGCTTCCTCCATTTCGTATCGACATTCTTCATGTACAAGTAGCTGAAAACCTTCCTAGCCCAACGGTCTTCCCCCATTTCTCTCAATCGTTTCTCAAATTTTATCTTGCTGCTAGCTTCCCTGCCCTCAAATGATGTCCATCCCATATCACCTTGTACTCCCTGACGTGTTCTAAATGCGAGAACGCCGCCTGGGGATGGCCTAGCACATTTCAACAGGGGCGCCTGTGTGCGACACCCACACTTCTGAAGACTAGCTGGCGGCATTGAACTCTCCGCAGGCCATCCACCCGTCCCGTATAATGGCCCCTAACAAAGGGTGGCAGGCGGAAAAGACACCGCTAGCAGACGACGGACCTCAAGAAATGCCAGAGAAGAAAAAGAAAATACAAAAGACGCAGACAGCCGGAGCAGACGCACCGAGACACCGTGAAGGGGCGTCTCCGAGCCGGTTAGCGTGCTAGGCTGGGGACGTGCTTTGCGGCGAGCGAACAATGGTTATAATTAGAAAATCCCGCGGTGCGAACGCACCGCGCAGTAACACAACGAAGCTGCGCGAGTGGGGGAGACGCGTAGTGCGGAGAGACGAGCACGAAAGCGCGGTGCTACCTCCGCGAGCAGAAAGAGTGCCACCTTTCGTAGCCAGCGATTACCGCGCAATGTTTCTTTCTCTTTGTTTTATTCGCTCAAGAACTCCTTGTTTGGCGTGATGTGCACTATAGACGCTTTTCTGCATTAGTTCGAGATTCCGGTCCTAGCATTCGCCGAGCCGCTGAAAAAAAAAAAAAGAAACAACCTCGACAAAAAAGACGCGACGTAGCCGGCCAGTCCAGTGGGGGGGGTCAACACCTCGCGAACACAGCGCGAGCGCCGCCGACACCCCTGGCGATGCATTCGGGCTGCAATGCGGCGCTGCGTTTGCCAGTGATTTTATTTACACACATGGAACACTGCATCTAAGCTTCGCATGACATCTGACAAAGCGAACCTGGCACGATAGAAACGGAACTTGATAAAGAGAGAGATAGTGAAACTTCATTCGAGGGTAAAACGCACAAAAAAAAAATTACAAAAAGCCACCGCGGACTATTTCACAGCAGAAAGCCACAGTTGTTGGAGCCAACGCTCTGCCGGTAACGTCACGAAAACCCGACGCGGATGTGGCAAAACAATCGTTTAACAGGTGGACGATTTCCAGCGCTTGAAAACAGTCATAAATCAAGTTTGAGTTCATTACTCCTTACAGATCAGCTAATATCACGCTTTTTTTTTTCTTCCCTATAAGTCAAAACTGCACTATCAGTGTAAAGGCGGATTGCTAAAAAAAATTGAAATAGATCGCAGTCGGAGCATTAGTAAGACATCTTAAGGAGAAGGACCACTTCGAAAATTTCTTCGAAGTGTGACAAGTACGCACGATAAGACACCGGCTCGCACAGGATGCGGGATAACGTGCGCTACACCAAGGTCTTGCGTTACCGCCGAAGGAGTGATAAGAAGTGGGCGTAGCCGCATTCCACGCACCTGGCGTCAAAAGGCGGCGCGTATTGAAAGCGCTCTCTTTTGTCCTTCCCTTTCTCCCACTGCTTGCAATACGCACGTCACCAGCACACTCATCACAGGGCATGGCGCGTTTCGCGCAGCAAAAACACGTCGAAGACACGCGACCCGAAATAAACGAGTTGGGCGTTTTAGAACAGCCTTCCACAGTGCGTCGTCTGCTAGAGTAAAACCAACCGCTGTCGCTCCCCTCTTTGGGATATCCTTCCGCGAAACGAACTACGGTAAGATGCGGAAGGCGTAGAAAACACCGGAGGTTGGCAAGAAGGGCCATCCTGCGGAACTGCGTCGCGTGGTGTTAATTTCATTCATGACGTACAGCCTGCAGAAAGCGGAGCAGCGTTGACATAATCGACCTTACCGATAGACGAAAGGGGTGGGGAATACAAACAAATCGCCCTAATCGGTTTACGCCGCCCGCTATTTGCGCAATCAAGCCGGTAGGCCACTTTTTTCGAGGGGCGCGAACAGCGCTACCGATTGCACCAGTGGTAGGTGTTCTCCGATTGCACGTAGTCGCCGACAACGCATGTTGAAAGTCTCGATCAGAACTGCCTCACCACAAAGATCGGCGACTAGCAACGCTAGCGGGCAAATGCGAAACTGCGCCGTGGTTTCACCTAGCTGCGGTGACTACGATCTTGTTTTCGCTCAACCCGGCATTCGAAGTAAGCCTAATGGACCGAAGGCGCACTGCGGCTATGTGGGGGGGTCGCCGAACACGCATCGGCGAACGCATTCAAAACAAAAAACGCGCATAAAACCGAAACAGCGCGTCACCTGAGCGCTCGTGGAAGGCTCCAAGGGTGTCGCTAAATGTGCAACATCGCTTTCCACACCCCTGCCTGCGCCCTGCCCGGAAATTAACGCAAGAAACGGCAAGAGAGCGGTTCGGCAGAATTTTTTTTTTTTTTTCGAGGGGATTTGGGTTGCACACACGCGCTCCTAATTGGAAGCTTTCGCATCGAAGCGATGCCCGATCAGCTCAGCGACGCTGTTCAAGCATTTGAAACGCCTTCTCGAAATCGTAGGAGCAAAAGCCGATGCTGTCATCGCAGGTCTGCGGCACCCGTAGTGGCGTATTCCAAGAGGGAGGGCGGATGGTATTGGGAGGGGGGGAAGAACGGAAACACCAAAGTCGCAGATGCCAACACAAGCCTCCAGGACGAGAAATACGGCCACATCAAAGTCTTGTATAGATCCATGACGGTCGAAAGGCCAGTTCGAGCGCAGAAATTGGCTTACCATTGCGGATGAATGTGGATTTCGCAGACTGGGCTCGCAATCGGGGGGTTATCCGGCCTGTGCACACTCGGATCCACAAACGGCGGACTCACTAAAGCGAAAACCTATCGGTCGCACGCGGCTTCCCGTTTCCAGCGTATCACTGCGCGGCAACACACCTCCCTGCAGTGTCACTTTGCGGAGAAACCCTACCAAATCTGACAGTGTGCAGGTGTAGACAGTTTCGTCTTATAGTTAATGAGCTGACGGAATTTAAAGCACGCACAAAAATGTTTCAACGTGTTACTTGCGACCGGTTTAGAAAACTATTTCTCGGAGCGGATAAATACGGTGCTGCGGCCAATCCGGTTGACAGCGCTCGCTAGAGGCTGCTGGTGTGCGCGTTGATTGGTCAGCGCTCACCTGCAATGCGTCGTCGGAAGCTGCAGGAGTGCTCGTCTGCTCCGGAGTAGGAATCAAGACCGTTTTGTCGGCCTGATTTGGATGCGAAAAATGTGCGATTTCGATCCCCGACGTCGCCTACGATAACCTTCAGCCTGGACGCGACAAGCCGGAGATTAAGCTCTTCGTTTTCCTTTCGCTTCTTTTCTTGCTTTGTTTTCGTTCCCATTTGTGCGTGGTCTTCGTCCCGAGTGGATTTTTGGCGCGCAGCGCTGTCGTCTGCTCCGATGGAGGACGCCATACGTCAGCTGACTGCGCTTATGCAGACGTGGTGAATTTGCTGCTCGTTTCATAACGAATTGTTGTCGTCCTTTTGTAAATACCGAAACCTATGGCAGCGCGGAGTTCCGTGAAGTCGTTATTGTCTTTTTTGTTCTGTTTCATTTCCCGGCGTATTGGCCCTCTAACAATGCATGCTAGTTGCTTACCTTTACGAACTGTTTAGGTCTAGGGCTGACAGTATCTTATAAGTGATAGTTTTTCTTTCGGCATTTTAGTTAGGCCCCATGCGGCGCGATTTTTTACATGCACTGTCTGCTGTCAATCAAGTTCGAATCAACTCTCGTCGTGACATTATATATGGTCCCGCTGAAGCGATGAAATAAAAATATTCCTGCAAACAACAATCTCCCTAAGCCTCTTCTATGTCTACTCGACGTCGATGCTACAATATCGCTAATACACAATATTTATCTTGCTTCTACTCTTAGCCATATTTGTGTCGCATTCCAAGCTCAGTCGTAGCACGTGTTCGAAATTTAAAATGATTGAATTCAACTCAAGTAAGCCTACGACGATCTTAGCATCTGTCATTAGGATGATGCATTCTCTTTCTCGATAAAAAAAAAAGAAAAATGAAGTTAGCTTGTTTTATGAAGTGTCTATTTCATGCGGATCTGCATCCGTTGTATACACGTGATAGATTGTTGTCCCCTGAGCATGTCTCATACACAATGCAACAGTTTGGCTGACTGGTAGGTGAATTTTTCATTATTTCCTGTAGTGAATCATTCCTTATAAATTCTATCGTTGCTGATAATTGGTACTTCGAAAAAAAAAATACTATGGCTCGTATCTAATGTAGGTGTTTTGGTCGAATAATGGGCGAATTTATTGTTATCTTTGTTTGGTAGCGCGTCAGTACATACATTCAGCCATAACTGATAACTGGTACTTCAATCAACATATTAATTAACGATAGCATCCAGAAATACCACAGGCATAGATACAAGTGTAAGCCTTCCTGTGCTCGGCTCAATACAGAGGTTCTTGGTCGTTCCGCATATATTTAATCATTACAGTTAATTGGCACTTCAAAACAATATATTTATAACGCTAAAATCTAGGAATAGTACAGGCAATCATTTAGGTGTAAGCCTTCTTACCCTCATTCGATGGCCCATACCCAATACAACAAATATTGGCCAGGTCACGAGCGGATTTTTCCCGCCAGGCTCTATAGCGCAACACTAATAGAACGGCTAAAGGTCAACAATATATCGATTTGATTGCGAAATATTCAGTTAATAAATGTTTTCACCTGCCATGAACCCCAAGCAAATTCTAATGCTTTGTTTTACGTGTTCCGAAGTAGTAACTCTGGGGCATCGTCATAAATTCAATTGTTTATGTGCGTACTCATCGCATGAAATGTAAGATGGATTCGGAACCTCACTGTCTCGTTGCATTTGCATAAAACTTAAAGACTGCGACTGTTTTGCATGGCAATGTTATGCGGCATCTTTTGTATGTCTGGCTTCTTTTTCTGATGTGCCCTTTTTTATGTTGCTATTTATTTATTTTTGTAATAACCGTGCCAGACTACAAGCCGTGCTTACATATCGCATACCGCGCCACCTTTCTAACGAGCAAGTAGGTCTTGTTCATTATTTAGATGTTATGGAATGGAATGAAAAAAACATTATTTCAGTCCTGCAGGACTATATATAATATATTATATAGGAACGTCAGACAGATGTACCATGACGTAGCTCTTAGACGCTACGTCATGCTTCTGCAATCATTATCATTGGATTGCATCTCCGCAGAACTACATTTTGGAAGAGTGACTTTCACTCTTATTTTCATTTTTTTTTTTCAGAATTACACCACACTTTTAATAAAATATTTGCTCTTTGCGTTATTAACTTCATGTATCACGACATTCGCCAACTAGCACATCAACGAATTCTTGAACCACGTCCTCCCCCAATAAATATGTAGGTGTACGTCGAAGCACCCAGAATCACGGTACGCTGCGCCTGCAAAGACGGGGCGAAGAGGTTGACGAACGCATCGACCTACGCCGTCCGTCGAGTGATTGGCGTCAGCACGGGTGTTCCAAAGAAAATGTGTCTAATATTCTTGAAAAAAAAAAAAAACAGGAAAAGGCGCTATTTGCTCGCAGTCTTCACAGTCGCTTTTCCTGAGGCGTCAGGCATATTAAAGGGATTGAAGTCATCACTTGTAACATTAATAGGGAATCTTAAGTTAATTTACCTTTTAACTAGTGCAGTTAGGCAGTTAAGTCGAATGGTAGAACTAGAAGTACTTCATGCCAAGCACCCATTGCCGCTTTGAGATTTCGGAAAAGCGGCCTCTAGTAATAACTGCAAACGAATGAAATTAAATCCAGGATTCTGCGTCGAAACCGAAACTGAAGGACCGATGAGCGCAACAAGCAGATGACTACAATGACGTCACTATAGAAAACAGCGGCTACAGGGGTGCACCTTTTTCTCGTATATGCGTGCTGTGATTGCAAGCGCAGCCCACACACCGACACAACGAAGTCGGTCGACGGTTGATATAACAACGCTCACTCATTTCGGACGTCTTGGACGAATAAAACAATAGCGCTCTGCCATGTTTCGGTTTCTCCGCAAAATTTAGGAGAAATTGATTAATTTGCAGTTAGTACTGAAGGCCACTTTTCCGAAATCTCAAAGTGACAATGGTTTTTTTTTTTTTGCATAAAGGACTTCAACTCTCCCATTTGACTTAACTGCCAAACTTCACTAGTTACAAAGTTTATTATAGTAGCTTTCCTGATTGGTGTTAGAAATGATGTCATCAACCATTCTAAGATGGCTGCCACTACAGAAAAAGCAACTCTGAAGACTGCGAGCCTTTCCGTGATTTTTAAATGATATTGGACAGATTTCTTGAAACACCCTGTACGCTGACACCGATTTCCGATGGTGATTTCACAGCGCGAGTTAACCTGTAGACGCGACAAATGCAATAGTTCGCAAAAATAAAATTAAGCTCGACTGATATGGTAACTCTACTCAACAATTTCGGTCTTCAAGTAAAAAGTGCTTGTACGTTTTGTTTTCCGACTGGTTGGCTAAAATGTTCCAAAATTACTGTGGCCGTCAACAACTCTGTCAATTATACATAAATTATGTGCAGTGGCACTGAACTTATAATAATCAATCTGACGTAGTTTTGTTTCAATTATATTACAATATTGTCGATGAAAATGAATTTAACTAAAAAATGAACAAGACCACGGTGTGTCGTCCCGAAGGGGAGAAGTGCGCGTAATATAGCTTCTGAAACTGCGTCCCACTTGAAACCGTCACTTGTTGCAAATATTTAGGTGTTCACATGTCACTGTAACTCAAACTGGACAGTTCGCGCTCAAACTATCAATAACAATGACCACCGCATGGTTCGATGCTTACGTCACAAGTTATCATCATCATTATCAGCCTCTGTTAGTCCACTTCAGAACGAAGGCCTCTCCCCCAGTGATCTCCAGCTTACCCTATTTGCCCTCTGCGAGCTGTATCTATGTTATCCCTGCGAACTTCCCAGTTTGGTCACCCCATCTTTCTTCCACGACTGCATTTTCCGTCCCTCGGCGACCATTCCGTTGCTCTTATACTGACTTCCGGTTGTCTGTTCTACACGTCACGTGACCAGTCCAGGTCTGTTTTGTCATAGAGTTTCTTAATATACACTAGAGGGAACTCTGGCGCTAGAGTCTATGGGAGCTGCAACGCACAGCGCTTCAGCGAGCATGGGAATGATAGGTAGTGCACACATTTGTCTAACTTTCGTACTTCTGGCCTGCTTCTGGCTTGCTTCTGGCTTGCTTCTGGCTTGCTTCTGGCTCCGTGTGTGTTCGTGTGGCTTGGAGCTGTTTTTTCACGAAACAAAAATTGCGCTTCACCGCCCTATTTTTTTGAATACCTTTCCAAATTGGGTCACGAAGTTCGAAAGGGTTGAATCTTTTGTAGTGCCATCATCACCATCATCATTTTTTCCATCACCGCGCCGCGTCTCTCGCGCAGCTGGCGCGAGCTCGAGCTGCACGAGATTTGGAACGAGCTTCTGGCCTGGCGGTTTGGACGCTGGTAATCGACGTGGCTCCGCTTCAGGCCTGCAATAAAGTGGCGAGATCGGCACGGCCCCATCGGCCGCCTTCGACGTCATCTCACGTCTCCTCTTCTCTCGCCGCTACATTGGTGACCCGGAGAACACGCCCTTCGCCGAGCGGCCCGCGGCTATGTTCCCGCAACTCTGCCCGCCAGTGCGGCCGTTCCAATCGACCTACCCCAAGGTATGGTTCATGCAGCTCGATGCCGTTCTGGCGCTGAATGGCGTCACGGACCAGCTGCAAATGCACGCCATTCTTCTCGACGCCCTTCCGGTAGAGTTGCGCCATCTCTCTGGCACTTCAACCTCCAGCCAGCAGCCTTACGATGACCTCTGCTCGGCGGTGCTTGCCAGACATGGCCTCACATACCGTCCGCTTCCGTTTACCCGCACCAGGCAGGTTTCCCCGGCGCACGCAGAGCAAGCGACGGCA